TGCAGAAAAGCTTTCAGCCGAGATGGCTGTGAAGGAAATTCGAAGCGCAGCAACATGGAGTAGCTATAAGTAGGATAAGGGGTCCTTGGTGGAGAACGTCGTTTAACGACGGGCATGCTTTGATGTTCGCACTAGTACACTTTGCGCAACTTGGTCGTTTCCTGATTGGAGATTGAGTGGCTACTAGTTGATGCGAGATGCAGTGCACCAATGACCTTTCTCCAGGGGAGCTGTCGAGAATTTGTTCTATTATTCCTTTTTAATGTTGTGCTACAATGATGCCATCGTATTGCTCCAAGCTGCGGTGGTTTCTGAAGCATTTGCAACACTGAGTGCAGGTGTCTCACTGCAATCGCCTTGTTAGATGGCAAGGGAGGATGATTCTTATTGAATGTGAAACGAATGTAGTACCCATCAGTGCGCCTTATGGTATCCGAAGAATTCAGCGAATAGCTTACCACCTTGGAGCGCACGCAGCTCATACGTGGACTGCAGTCCGTCGATCGTGTAGGACCTTACAGCCCATATGTTGGGAAGGATGTTGAGCTTTCTTTTGTTCTCCTTTGCATTTCATTCGATAGTGTTTCTTTTGCGTCATACAGTAGGTTTTTCTTCGGTTTGCTTGACAAGGATTCATAAACATTTCACTGAAGTCCCATGTGATGTTAAAAAATTTGTCAGCTCAGGATGCCAGTTACTAAGACTCACAAAGAACATGGTCATTTGGTCGATCCGGCTATTTGTAATGAGGTGTAGTCTCGGCTCGCATAAGAAGAGCGGGAGAGCAATCACAGCAGCGAGCTTGGTGGCGTGGTGGACAGCGCTCTTGTTTATATTCGAATCCTTGAGAAATGGGAAAATTTTGCATTTTTCCAGGGCTACTTGTACGAGCCCAGAAAGCGTTTGTAATTTGGTTATTTTGTTACATGCATCCCCACTTGGCACCTGGAGGAGGCAGACTCTGAAATTTCCTTTTCGTGCTTCTTTTCAGGTTTTTGATGAACTTCAACGCACGGAAGACTCATGAGTTTACAGATCAGGACAAACCAGAAAATTCTGACAATAAATAGCGTAGGTAAACAGGAATTTTTCGCACAAATTTCTCAATTTGTCCAATTACCTGATATGTGACCAACTTCCCATTTGTGATCTACCGTGACGTGGCATCCCGTGAGAGGAAAACCGATGATTCCATCCTCATTATCACGTAAATGTTCTGCCCAAAGTGGGTGTTGGCGTACCTATTGGCCTGATGTCAGACTCTGCGATTGGAGCGATTCGGTCAAATGTGAATCGCGCGACCATCGCGCGATTCACATTTGACCGAATCGCTCCAATCGCAGAGTCAGACATCGGCCATTGGCAGCATACGTTGACTGAGGCAATCGATCGAGAGGGGCGCGCCCTGCCACAACGGGAGTGATCGCGCCCATCGCGCGATTGGAGCGATTGGTCATGATGGGACTCATGTCAATCGCGCGATCGTCGCGCGAATCGCGCGATGGTCGCGCGATTGGCATTTGACCGATCGCTCCAATCGCAGACTCTGACATCGGCCAATCGTGCCATCGCTCGCCATCATCTCCCAGTTGGGCAGAGCGATCAATCGCGGGCCCGCCCCCCTCGTTCGATACGTTGCCTGCGGAGCTGCGCTCCCCTGCCACAACGGGAGTGATCGCGCCCATCGCGCGATTGGAGCGATTGGTCATGATGGGAGTCAATGTGAATCGCGCGATCGTCGCGCGAATCGCGCGATGGTCGCGCGATTGGCATTTGACCGATCGCTCCAATCGCAGAGTCTGAATAACATCGATGCAGAGGATTTACTTCGGTTTTTTTTGTGATATTACACGTCACTCTTCCCGGCATGAGCAGAAAATAATCGGCAACTTCGCGTTTATCTTACGAAAATCCGCATATGACAATTTTACCGTCGATTACCACGAGGAAGCGAATGTTGCACAAGACCAAGAAGACACATTATGGAGCCCGGATGCGTGTGTTGCACAAGACCAATGGAGCCCGGATGACGAGGAATGTCACAAGCTATGCGTCAAATTACAGGGCTCCTTCGTTTTCGGTGATAAGGCAGCAAGGAAAGAGAAGGTGAGCTTCAATTCTCCGAACACATCCGCTTAAATTAAAGGAGGTGTATTTACAATGTAGGTCGACGAAGCAGTAGAGTTTTTTTGATCAACTTTTGAAGGGAGTCGTTCTCTCTCATCTATGCACAAGAAGTTCCGCTTCATCTCCACTAAACATCACCTAGAGAAGTTGCGACAGATTGAGCGAAATCGTGAGCTATCAAATTGTTTAAAGTTTCATTATACTTCCACAACGTCGATGTGACCACTATTAATTAGGAAGTGTCCTCGCTGACCGTGTCGTCCGACTACGAACGCTAGCAGATAAGCTGAAGTGGGAGGTGATGACGAAAATGAATTCGGGCATTACACTGCATGACAGTGACATCCGCCAAATGGCAATGAAGATCAACAATAAGGAAATCGATGATCCCGAATTTCAAAAGAGTTGCACACAGCGCGATTGCTGGCCATAAGAGGATCGAAAAAAGTAGAGAGGGTGGTGCAGTCGGTGTCAGCTACAACACACTCATTCACGGTGATGCCCTTGTTGTTCGCAGACGGCCACCTAGAAAGAACACTTTTTTGTGGTGCTGCAGGTGTGTTGTACATCAATCAGACCTAATCTACTCATTTCAGATGTTAACAGGAACCTGATAGGAGTCTTCCCAAGGATCACTTCCATGCTGCAAATCTGGTTGTTCGAGCAAACAAACCACATTTTGTGAGTAAGCAGCTCATGGTGGACTGGATTAAGTCATGTGTGGCCTCTCCAGACTCACCCCAATCAACGCTTCTCATCATTGATTCGTGAACCTCGTTTAAAGACCACGAATCAATTCGAGCTGCTTTGCCACCTAAAAACAAGTGAAGGTCCTGAACATACCTGCAGGTGCCACAGCCTTGATTCAGCCTTTAGATGTGTACTTCTTTTTGCCTTTCAAATCTATGTACAAGCGCTTCACAGCATATATAATAGCCCATGACATAGATTTTCCAGCTGATCTACTAATATGGCAGAAAAAGGTTCCTCGTAGAAACTAATTCTTCACTTTTTCATTGGGATTTTATTTTCGTGGATAAATTTTCCCATTATCAACGCGCTTACGGAGGAGCTGCCCGCAAGAGCCATCCAGAAGGTGATTACATGAATAGCAACATGGCTAATGACAAAAATTCATCACTAAATATTCACCGATTCCTCCACAACGACCGTAATATGCTCCAGAGGTGACGTAATTACTGGGCATACTAGTAAAATATCACATTTGTAGAAAAGCAAACAGTGAAGGAGACAATGAAAGCTAAACCGCTATTTTTGATTTGTTCAAGATCCGGTGATGCTTTACTTCCGATCTTTCAGAAGTTGATAAACAATTCCGAGGTCGTCGCCAGCACATCTAGGATCCTGCGTTTGATCCGTGAACAGTTCGGCGTAGGATTAGGTGTGGTGGGTATTTTAGAGTAGTGTGCAACATCACACCTCATATGACGCCTCTTTTCGGGTTACGGTACAAATGGTACCGGACTGAAGTTGGCTTATAGTCACACGAGACTCTATTCTTCGCCTTTTATCTTTAGTGTATTCTCAGTTTTGTTCACCAAATTGCAACTTTCTGTCTTACTCTTGGTATGCAGCAGGATACTTGAGCTCACATCCTGGTGAATTTCAAACACCTCTGCAATACTGCTTTGCATCTGAACTGATGGAAGACTTGCGATTGTCCCGGCTGCGAAGTCTTTCTTTTCGATGTGCACACTGCGAAAACTGTTGTTTTAATCACTTTGTGAGGAACATGTGCGTACGTTATTGAAACTTTGTATATATGATTCTTCCATGTGTTGAAGTTCATCATCATAAAAAACTTTTGAAAAGAAGTACGAAACGGAAATTCCAGAGTGTTGCCTCTCCAGGTGTCAAGTGGGGTCGCATATCAACAAAACGAATTACAAACGCTTACTGGTCTCATACGAGTAGCGGAAAATGCAAAAAGTCCCCAGGGTCAAGGATCCGAACATGTGACTTCACCCATATAAAGCAAGAGCGCTATCCACCTACCACCAGGCTCGCTGCATGTTTGCTCTCCGGCTCTTCTTATGCGAGCCGAGTGGGATAGGGGTAGAGGGCGCCACAGTGAGATAGCCACAGTGAGAAGAATCCCTCGTAACTTCGTTCAGAGAATCGTTCGGCAAAAATCGAAAACGGATTTGAGCTCAGCGTCGCAAGACGCGTGCATCGGACTACACCTCATTACAAATGGCCGGACCGACCAAATGACCATTCCTTGTCAGGTCAGATTCAAGAGCATCGCCATAAGATCCCTTCCTAGTTTCAACAAATTGTTCTGCCAAGACGTACTAAATATGGCTGGTTTCAAAAGGTTCATTCGGAGACTTCTTCGGTCTTCCTAATCAGCTACTACCTTTTTTTTCACAACCGATCTTCCGGGGTATCTCGGTGTGTTATTCTTGTATCAATCTGTTTTGTTTCTGATTAATTTTGTTCGATCATCTTTGTTTCTTATTCTGTTCACAGCGCTGGTTAATTTTTCTTTTATCTTCTTTTGCACGCTTCATATCGCAGGGTTTTGTGCCTGCCACGAGCTTGATTATTTGATTTTATTGAGTTTTCTCACGTGAAATTTGTTCACATCTCTAATAAATAAATAAAATGAAAATGTTGAATATGCGTGTCAAAAAACAGTCTCGAACGTGTTGATCACAGGTGACAACTTCAGATGCAATTGATGGCATCAATTGTGTGGCAAATTTCAATTTTTTCAATTTATTACATGCTAAAGAAGAAGAACTTAGAAACTTAGAACTTTATTACAATAACAACAATTTGAAAAGCTAAACAGACAAAACAATCAGAGAAGAACAATAACATAGAAATACAAAAGCATGCTCCACAAACTACACAGCTTTATTATCAACGTATCTGGTCATTTTCTTGCAATATTGCGCTATTCGCTCTTCAGTTGCCATTTCGGTAACACTCTTCAAACATGAACAAAGCAAAATGAATTGCTGTACCTTTTGAACGACTGAGAGCTATACTCTCATTTCTTCTGTTATTTATGCCTTCTTTCCTATCTTTTCTGCAGCACCCTCGTGTTGTTAAGGTCCTATAATAGACAGAGTTGTAATAATAGTTTGGCACGGTAGCGTGATGGAATCGCAACCTCTTCTAAAAATTGAAGAGTCGCCCTGGCTCCGCATGGCTTTCAATAAGCACACTCAAGAGCGTGTGGCCACTGTCTATGAGAAATTCTAGACACCCAGAAGGGTTTTTACTGTTCGTATTTGAACGTCTCCGTATTTGATCCTATTTGTCAAATGCTTCTGCTATATTTGTAGTCCGCAGCTCCTCAAAATTCCATTTGCACTACAGGTCAATGGGCCTTGCATCCACGTCGTGGAGGTAAATCAGAATATCTTTGCACTTTCTGTGAGTGGCGTGCTCTCCGGAAAGGGCGGGAATTTTGGGGGACTCTAACTTCTGGCATTAGTGATGTGAAAGGAACGTCACATCTGAAACGGAAATCTGTGATCCAAACTTTTTTTGAGAACTACAAACTTTAGTATCAGCGGTACCTTTCCCTAGTCCCTACCATTCTGCTTCATCTCACCCATGAATGCACCTTTTAAGGCCCAGTGCATCCCTCTTACGATTCTAGGAGGAATGTGGAGTGCACAGCCTTCTACCTAAGCCCTTGAAAAGAGCTTCACTGCTTTTTAGTAGCTCCTTTCTCGAAAATCTAGAATCATACGCCTCGGTACATAGTTATGTTCAACATTTCAAGAACTTTCACTTATATATTTTGCGTCTTTTCTCTTTATGCAGTAGAAAAAAGAAGTTTCGACGTCCTGGGAGCATACGCCCTGCACGCAGTAGAACTGTGCATGATACTCCAGTGATCTAGGGTACAATGAGTGCATTTCCTCAGATACCAATGCAGCGGGAGAAAGACTAGGCTTCTTCTCCTGGTCTTTCACCCACCTTGATAAATCTTCCCCCAGATATTCGCCTCGTCTTCTTCTCTCCTTGAGACAATGAACGCAGAAATAGTAGTTATCGGTGTTTTGTTGCGGTGCATTCGGTAGAAAGTGTAACAACGTGTAGTCCCTGGAATTCGATAAATTTGCACATCACGCCTTCCACTTTTGCTTACCTGCTTTTCGCCAATGTGTCTTTGTAAAATTGTGTGCTTCGGATTTGTGAAAGCAGCTAGTGCGTCTGGTGTACTTGAAACTGAAAAAAAACTCGCGTGTGCAGGTGACGAGTGAAGTGGGGGTAAGGGTGCACTACATGGAGAAGCAGCAGCTTGGGTTGTGCTTTGAAGTGAGGGTGATGGAGCAGAATACATGCTATCGTAGAAGTCATTCGTGAAAGGTTCATAACCAAAGAATATTGGAGAAAACGTGGACTGAAACGGCGTGCGAGGCAAGCAGGAACTGATGCAGCTTGAAATAGTTGCGTAGTCAAACTCGTGTAAAGTGGAGAAGCCTGCGGTTGCGCCGCACTTACGGGAAGAGCATCGAACGAAGTAGATTCAAGCGAAAGGGTGTCGCTGAAAGGATACTAAAAGAGATCGCCAAAGTAGTAGCCTGAAATTATGTTCATGCAAGGGCAATAACAAATAAGAGGTGTTTGTTCTATTTCCGTCGACCTGTTGAAGGCGCGTGACAGAGTGGTTGTGAGCGTTTGCCCCGAAAAGGGTCCAGAAGTTATGAAACTTCCAGACCTTCCCAGTGAAATTAAGAATGGCGATGGAGGGTAAATTAAGGGGTGGCTTGCGCGGTTGGTTCCGATGGACTACGTGTGCGTATCAAGGGTGAAGATTGACTTGATTTGTAGTTCTATTGCTGCTCTTGGCCCGGCATCGATTCCATTTTGTGCCCTTTCTACATAGATACTCTGTTCTGCCCTTCTTGTTCCGGGTGGAGGTGACCGTTAGCGAATCTAGCGCAGCTGTGAACTTGGATAGAGCATCTGGTGCCAACTGGCAGGCTGCAGCTCAAAAACTAATTCCTTAATTTGGTGGACATTGGCTAGACCTTGAGAGCACGATAGATGATTGTTGATATAATCATATTTCACCATTAAGGATTCCATGTTATTACAGTATCGTGTTAGCATCTCTTTCGGTGAGTGCAACGCTGCGGGGCCAACCATAATGAATGAATTAGGCCTAGGGAAGGGAAGGAAGATTGAGATAGAAAAAGGAATGAATGATCAGCTTTAAAGTGTCATTTTGATTTGTTG